TTTCATTCACTTAATTAATAATCGTGTTAAGTGAACCATTCACCGACTCTCATGAAGTAAACCATGTCTTATACTCAGTACTACCTATGTGGCAAACTGGCAATGTCTATTAGGGGTGGGCACAAAAAACCGATAACCGTTAACCATATAATAAAATCACAATACCGTTAACTTTTGTGGTTAACCGTACCGGATATTTAAAAAGCTTGTGGTACGGTTAACCTACTAAATTGAATAACGGTTCATGGTTCAGTTATGGTTACCACCGTTGGTTAACCGGTAACCGAAAGAAATTCTTATGTTCCGTATTTCAAATGTTTTGAAATCATCAAATCAACGAGCCTACTGTTTTTTGTAACTTTCTCCTAGGTGCCAGTCAAACCTCACTTGGCCTTACGTTAACTGAACCTTCCTTCAAAAGTGAAGAAGTTTGTAGAATTAATATCATCTTCCAATTTCTTGTTAATTTATTGCTACACTAAGTTATTCCTTTTTTTCTGAAAATATGGAATTGATTATAATTGCCAGAGGCTGGTCTACAATGGGGTGAAGTTGTGCGATGATTTCTAGCCGGGAGGTGTGAATACCACGATGCTCATCACCAAGGATGGCTTTTAAAGTAAGAAATTCCGGCGAATTAATTGGGAGAACAATTAGGCGGTTTAATTGGGAGAACAATTCCGGCGGATTAATTTGGTCAACAATTCCGGTGAATTAAAGAGAGGATGTTGGGAAAATAATAAGCTACTCCGTATTTTCTTTCAGGAGACTGTCATGGTTGATTAGGAACACTAGTTTGGAGATGAGTTCACTCAGTTGGTAGTTTTTTTGGTTATGGTTAACCGATTAATGGTTAACCAAAATTTTGGTTAACCGATATTCGGTTAACCGATGTTATGGTATGGATAATTGTATTGAATTTATATTAACCGGAATTTCGGTTAACCGATTTTCGATTAATCAAATTGCGGTTAACCATGTATGCCCACCCCTAATTGTCTATCTTGGGGTGGGTGTCTATATGGGGTTGTTTGTCACTTTGTGGTGTGAGGGTCCCACTCCCACCTATCTTGCTTTGGTCAACTGATCCTTGCTGTTGTGCACCATCATTATGCTCAGCTTTAATTATAATTGAAGTTAGCACACTTGACACTTTCATCATAATGCCCTCGAATTAAAGAATTAAACTGTCTGATCTATATATTTTATTTATGATTGACTCAAATCAAGAATGTTGAATAGGTAACCTGGAATGGGAATCGAACATTCCATCTTTCGGTTGCTGGTCTTACTAGGCGATTAGACTAATTAAGTTTTCCTTGTGTACATGCCAAGTTTTACACGCCGGGTTACACGCCTGTCAAATTGTCTGTGTACAGACAATATGATCGACTACACAGACATATTGAGCGGCGATTTACGAAGAAAATCAATTTTCACACAGACAAAAATAAAAAAATGTCTGTATCACAGACACTATGAAAAATTCAGGTTTAAAATGTCTGTGATACAGACAACTCTTTATATTTTGTCTGTATGGAAATCGATTTTCTTCATAAAACGCCGGTCAAATTGTCTGTCTAGCCGATCAAATTGTTTGTATACAGACAATTTGACCGGCGTGTAACCCGGCGTGTAACCCGACGTGTACACGAAGCGGGACTCATCAGAATGATATAGTTGAATTATTTAAATCTAAATTAAAAATTATGTAATGATTTGAACCAATTAAGTGAGTGTCAGGTACGGTAGCCCATTTTTTAAATAGGTACCGGAGTTTAAATGGAGGGGAGAGAATGTGATTAGACCATGACCATGTGTATAATTAAGCTTTTTACTTTTTCTTTATTTTGGGCATTGGAGTGGAGGTGACTAGGTGTGGTGGTGGCCGGTGGGGTTACCTAATTTGATTTAATATTACTTAATTAATTAATTTGATTTAATATTACTTAATTAATTAATTGGTCAATAACGGTCATACTATTTCTTTTTGCAAGTGGAAGGTTGTAATTAGCTTGACCTCATGCTCGTTTTTTGAAAACTTATTTATCTATCTTTTGTAATTACTTTAGTAATATAAAAAAAGGGAAACGCTACTGGTTACTAACTTAATAATATTGTTGTTATTATTTTCCAAGGAATTAAGGTATTACTCCGTATAATTTTCTTCAAATGCCCGAATTACAAAATATACTTCTTGGGAAATATCTTGAATTTCTTTAACACTCTTCTTTCTATTTTTAAAAGTAATAGAAACATTTTAAACATTTTCTCAGCACTTTTTGTTAGAAAAACTATTATATGCACGTAGTAGAAAAACCCTTTGTACACTGTACACTTTACTGTTGTACACACTTTTACACGAGTATGTGAGTGTTTTTATCTGTAAATAGCCTCTCTTAACAGACTTTACAGAGACAAACATGTTATGTCTTTTCAGATACAAAAAAGACTTTACAAACGCGTGTAAAAATGTGTACAAAAGTAAAATGTGTACAAAAAAAATTCTACAAAAAAAATGAGAAAAGCTTTAGCCTTCAGACAACGGTAATTTAATACTCCGTAATTAGTAAAAAAAATCTAGTGTAGTATAACTTCATTAACCACTTGTAATAGTTAGTAATGAATAACAAGCATTTCACCAAAAGTCAAAAACTTCTCACATTTATTATTTAAAATATATTAAAATAGTTAAGTTTATATAATATGTTGACTTAAATATGTTAACATCATTTAAGTTATATTTTTGCTTTCTCTAATAATCGAGTACTTTAACATTGTCCATATAAATGTACCTTTACATTATGGGTTAATTATCAAAATAGGACTAAAAATCACTCACCTTGCACAAATAAGACCAAAAATAAACTATGTTTTCATAGGACTAATTATGTGTGTCTTGGACAAATATACCCTTATAGCTATTGAAATGTTTTAATTCATAATAAAATAATAAAAAATAATAAAAAATTCGTAAAAAATACTAAAAAATAAATAAAAATATTTCGATAATAATAATTTATTTATTTATTTATTTTCAAAAAATAAAAAAATTAAAAAAAAATTAAAAAAAAAACTCAAAAAAATAAAATAAAATTCATCGCCGCCTCTGCCGCCTCTGCACCACCACCTCCAGTCACCAGGGGGAAAAAAATGCCAAGTTCATTACGAATGCCATATTTATGGTAGAAAACAATGAAAATGTTGGCATTCTCAAAGAGAAATATGCCATGTTTTTGACATTTTCAGAATAAAATGGCAGTTTTTAGGAAAAGTGGCATTATTTCACCGCCGAAGATGGTGGTGCAGGGAGGTAGTACAGGCGGTGAGAAAGGCACCCATAAAAATTCGTAAAAACTACTAAAAAATAAATAAAAATATTTCGATAATAATAATTTATTTATTTATTACATTATCAGTTAATTATACAAGCTAGTTGAATTCAAGAAAAACATAGTAAGCCCTATTTATTTATTTATGTTTTTGAAAAGAAAAACATAGTAAGCTCTATTTTGAGTTTTTGCCATAGTTTTAGTCCTATTTGGAGTAATTTCTATTACATTATCAGTTAATTATACAAGCTAGTTGAATTCAAGAATTGAACGGAATACTTTACAAATTAAAAGCTGGTGAGATAGTCAAACAAAAAGAAAAACAATTGAAATTGCTAACAAATAGAAGTAAATCATTATCTGAATTTACAAATAGATCTCATGATATTGGTCCTATTTAAGGAGTTTTGTCATAAAAAGGATAACGCATACTCCCTACAATGTGTTGGTGATTAGATATTCAAGTTTAAGGGATTTACATTATACATCCAAATGATTTTGTGTTAGTATATCTTTGTAATTATTTGGCTATAGCTCATTTCACATGAAAAAAATGTTCATATATTCCCTAAATATTTTTAATTTGGGCATTGTTTCAAAAATGTAGACATTGTAGAGACTAATGGTTGTAAACTACAACAATCATCGATAAATTATTTACTTATGTTCACTCAAATACTAGTATAGAAAGGCTGCCGGGTGCAAGAGTTGTACCCAGCCCAAGCCAGGTATGCTCATTCGGTCTTGGTTTTATCTGTTCTGACTTCTGAGTCTCTGACCATCATTTTAGCCCAAGGTCAAGAACCTGCAGGCTCGGGATCCGATTGGAGTAACTAGTCAGTTCCCTCCCTTGTGGATCTTCCATATCAGTTGTGTGCCAGTGAGTAGGGTTGGACTCGGCCCGGGTGGCCCGACCTGGAACCGGCCCGGGACCGGTACTGTTCCGGCCCGGCCCGAACCGGTGGCCCGGTCAGTGACCGGTCCGGGTAGGCCCGACCCGGTGGGTTTCCGGTCCGGGCTCGGGTCACCCATAACAAGGCCCGGGCCCGGTTCGGGCCAAATTTATTTTTTTTTTGGTTTTTTTCATTTGTTTGGGCTCCACCGGGTTGGGCTTGATGTTTAGGAGGGGTTTGGGGGTGGGGGTGAGGGGGGGTCAGGGATGGGTAGCTAAGCAAAAAAAAAAAAAAAAAAAAAAATTAACCAAACCCGAGGCCCGGACCGGACCCAGTGGCTACCCGGGCCGGTCCCAAGTCCAGCTATATAGAACCGCCGGCCCAGGCCCGACCCGGCCCGAGTCCAACCCTACCAGTGAGGCTTGCACTATGGGTTTTATTCAGCTCAATTATACTACATGTCACATGGGCCAATTCCAATCAAGTTAAAAAAGATCATCTAGTTGTAGTAGTCCAGTACTCCAGTCCCGTCATATCCAGCCACCAGCCTTAATAGTTTATAGTAACCAAAATCATGCGCCATTCCTCATGAAATATGATACTACTAGGAGGGCCTTTTTTTGCGAGATTTAATTCTGTTTTACTACAATGCCTTGAAAGCAAGTTATCACACCTTTCTTCATTGCTCTCATTTATCACAAAAAATACAACGTTAGATCAAAAAATAATGTCCAAACTAGTAAAATACTGTAAGACACTTCAGCTACTAGAGCACCAAATAATGTAATATGTATATGTTGTGCTTCAAGACTCAAGAGAAAAGTTCACCATAGGTTACTGACACTCTTGATTACACTTCCTGGAAGATGAAACTTTGTAGGATTATTAAAAGGATAAAGAAATTGATTGGCCCTTCGAATAGGTCAGACAGGACTCAGGATGCATAACAGCATAAGGCGTACATTAAACATGCATTCTGCTTTCCTTTAGCTATCAGCTTTATATGGTGGTACAACCAGGGCAAGAAAGAATCAATATTCATTCTAATTTTTTTACATGCATCAAGGCTGGGAAACAAATTGTGTAGTGAATACAACTTGGAGTCAACATTTTTCCAAGAGTTAACCAATCTTTTGGCTGAACATAGACTGGTCTAAGCAAGCCATTCTCTCCCGAACGGACTCTTGGACAATAGTTACCAACCCGAAAAATTTTTGAACTCTGTGGAGACCCCAACTTTTCTCTTCTTTGAAGAAGGAATTGGTGGTGGGAGGGTGGTATTAGAATCAGATTGAGCGTTCCTTGTCTTCAAGTATTTCCCAACACCACCCCCAATTGCTTGACTGTCTGTTCCAGTCCCAGGATTGCTATACCATGACCCAACCTTATCCTGAAAATGCAGCAGGAAAGTTCACTGTCATGAACAACAAACAACTTTTACATTAAGAAGAGGCGGAGAGGGGATTACCAAACTTAACAAGTATTGATTAATAAATAGTTCAGATCTGACAGGGTCAATGAAAAATGATAAGCATGTTAAGAAGTAAGAACTAACATTGTCCTCATCCTCAATTTTGTTATCATCCGTTGGCTCTCCATCTTCTTCATCATCAGATTCTGTATATGGATTGACATAGACTTCTACATCAATAATCTTGATATCTTCCTACAAGAGAACATGATGAAAAAGAACAAAGGTGAGAGACCTACTGATTTTCTACTTAATTTACAAAAACTAAAAGGAGATGCTCAAAACAGAGAAGGGTAAGAAGTGCAGGTAAGAAATAACACAAGCTCCTACTAACCAGAGGTCGGTCATTGTCATCCACAGGGACCTTCTCCATTGCTGAAAGGGTCGTCAAACCCCCAACAACCATACCAAAAACCGAGTGTTTGTAATTTAAATGATTTGCAGACTTGTAGAGGATAAAAAACTGAGAACCGTTTGAATGTGGTCCAGAGTTTGCCATGCTAACAACACCCCTTCCAGAGTGTAACAACTTGGAATTCACTTCATCTTTGAATGGCTTTCCCCATATAGACTCACCACCTCGTCCAGTTCCCGTAGGATCACCACCTTGAATCATGAAATTCCTGCACGAAATTGATGGCATTTGTTCTTCAATATCAAAGCAGAAAATACTGATTAATCCAGTTTATTTGGTGAGTAATTCAAACAAGACAGGCAGAGGTACCGAATGCTTCTGTGAAAAGCCAGTCCATTATAATAACCACGTTCACACAAAGTGATGAAGTTCTCACACGTTCTTGGTGTTAAATCACAGTGCAGCTCAATGTTCAAATCACCATGTGTTGTCTGCAGCCGAACATAACCTTTCTTTTTGGGGGTTTTCTCAACTTTGACATATTCGTGTTCATTTTTAGTGACAGGATCATAACTTGTAGAAGTGAATGATCGTGATGCTGCACCCGTGGTGAAACGACTCTTAACCTGAAATTATAAGAGAATGTCAATATCAAATACAAAAATAATGTCTCTTTTTTATTTTTTCCAATAGGCACACTAACCAGTTTAGCATTTACAGGTGCCCTTTCGCCTGCCATGTGCAAAGCAATCCGTGCAGCAGCTTTGTCACTGGAAGCAGACTTTGCAGCAGCAGCACTTCTTCCATGAACTGATGCAGATGCCGCATCTACAATACTGAAAGCCTGTTTACCATTTTCACTTGATTTGGTGTCTTTTTTGATACGTGATCTGGCTTCTAAAATGTCAAAAAGTGCAGCTGCCCTTTCATTCTGTGCCTTGCTTCCGCCCCCGCCTGTCAACGCAATCTCCTTTGCTTTCTCGGTGCCAAGCTCTTTTAGCATTTGCTTGATATCTCCAGTAACATTTATGTTGTAAGAAGGTTCAGACTGCATCTTCTTGAGTTCTGATAACATGTAAAAAGAGAGTGTAAATATTGAAATGTGTGTGCCAGATATGAAAAAGCAGAAAGAGGGGTAACCACTCACCGTCATCATCAACCTTCAAACTTTTTTTAACATGATCAAAATCCACAAGCACCTTAGTATCCAATGCATTGGGGTTCTATAAAAACATCACCATACATTTTTGGGGGGTGGGGGGGGGGGGGTGGGGTGAGGGAGTCAGTAAAACTCAACACCAAAGAGTAGAGAAGACGGAGGCACAATCAAGTGAAAGGCTACCTGAATAGTAATCAGGTCTTCTCTAGTAAATGGTTCGTCGGTGAGAAGTTCCTTCCAGTTCTTTGTTTTAATGTTTAACTCCTTAATTGCCTAAACAGAAATATTATGGATATTATTTCTTTTATCAAAGAAAAGCAGCCAGGATTTTGGATCACTTAATCGAGGAAGAAACATATATACTTCATAGCAAAAGACGTTGCCAGTATTCTTTACAGCAACTATGTGCGTGAATTCTGTAAAAACCTTGTTCAAGACCGGGCATTGGAATTCACCTGGAAAACATCCAGCCAATGATGGTTTTCAAGAACAACATTCCACAACATAAACACTGATTTAGGATTTATAACTTTGAATGAATTTATATACACTGCACAGCGGCATCTTAGTTAAAAGTTAGATTTAATTAATTACCTTCCGCGTTCTTGTGGAATGTGAGTGGAATGAGTTGCTCTTGCTTTAGAGGAGCTCCTGTAACTGGATGCTTTCCATATTTTCTAATATATGGTACAATATTCCTTAGGCATTCCAAGACAAGATAATTTAGTACTCGCCAGAATTCACAAGGAAAAAAGGAGATCAGATGCATAAATACTAAAATACTCACATGACTTCAAACACACTACCATCTTCGGTGCATACAGGGTCTTCGAAAGGAGTAAATGTAAGTCTGCGTTCAAGGAATGAAGTGTTTCCTTCAGACGGAATCACAAAATTTGAAAAATCACGTGCTTGAATAAATACAGCTAGGAAGGAGGAGACGATGGGAGCTTACGCGCAGCAATAGAAGGGTAAACGTTTGAAAGGAGTTCGGATTTCTTTGGATTTAGCACCGCCCCACTCAGTTGCCCATTCAGTCTTCGTTATGAACATTCGATCTTTACTGTGCTGCTTCTTCCCCATGGTGGTGAGACTTAGAGGTCAGCGAATAATTAGGGTTTTGAGAAAAGCTCCCCAAATCAATCGATAAATTAGCTTCGACAACCTTCCTGCAGAAGCCGCTGATAATTGAGGAAACGTTTCAAAGTCAGCCGGCCGTTAATATGGCAGTTGCCGACTCAGTTCGGTGTTGTTCCCGTCGCCGTGTACTAGCTCTGGTATGGAGCACCACTGCACCGGACCCATATTGACTGTTCTATCGCTTGGCCCATTAAAACACATTAGTTTGAGTCTGGCCCATTAGAAGATATTCGTTTGGGCCTAGCCCATGAATAAATATAGGAAGTTTTAGCATTTTCGTAAAAGAAAAGACTTTTTAACGCAATGGGCGGCGGTCAAACCAGCAGCAGCAGCGGAGAAGAAGACGGCGATGCCGAATGGAGAGCCGCCATAGATTCTCTCACCGCCACCACAGCATTTAGCAGCTCCGCCGCCGCCAACGGTCATCCATCATCTTCCTCAGTCGCCCAACCTTCCTGCGAAGATGAATCAGATGCTCTGAAACCTCGGAAACTCAACCACTACCAAATCAAGGTGCTTCCCTCATTCCGCTAGTTCGACTGCGCATCCTTCATTATTTCTCGATGAGAGCTTTTCAATGTGTGGCATTTTTTATTTCGAATAATGTTTAATCTACTACATATACGCCGGCAGGTTCACAAGCTTTTGGAGGACTTTTTAGAGAAGACGATTGATATAGTGAGTGACACAACCGATGTGACTCCTGAAGATCCCATTAGTTGCAGTGAAGGTGGAATTAGGCTGTTCAAACATGCACCTCCTGGGATAGCTGTTGACAACACAGGTAATAAAAAAGATTTTTCTGGCCATGTTCAGTTTTATCCGACTGTTCTAAAGATGGTAATGTAAATGTGGTGTTCGTTTCATTTCCAGATGAACTTTATATAAATAGGAAAAAGCCTAGAATTCTTCCTGGAACAGAACTTGAAGAGGGGTCGAAGGAGGTTTGCATATCGAAATCAAATTTCCTGTTTTCATAGTCGTTTTATGTTAAATTTGCAAATCTAATGTTAAATTTGTTGCGAGCAGTTCAAAAAGAGGATCAGATCAGTTTGTGTTGCAGGGATGGATATAATGGCTGCAGCTGAAGATGCAACTCAGAAATCAAAGGCTAGATTGGAAGCAAGAGATGCAGCTACCAGAGCATATCTTCAAAGAGAGGAAGAACGCGTTGCCGAACTTAAGAAAATAAGGGGGGAGAAATGGCTGCCTTCTCTTGATCCTAGAGGCTTGCAGCAAAAACTCAAAGGGAATTGTTGATGCAGTGATTATGATGTACTCCTTCCATTTACATTTTGTAGCATTTTTAGTCTTTGGTTTGGTTATTACAAAATTATATGTATTCATAAGTTCCATTGTCAAACAACTGTTAAATGTCATGTTTATTTTCCCTACAATCTAGGACTTGTGGATTCAATAACTCTATGATCGATTCTTACCATATATAATTAAAGGCTAAGCCAACAGGGGTAAGGGTGCCTGTTGAAAATTCAAGCTTCGAGAACATTTAGATATCTTTGATTTGATATATTATGTATTCTAGAACCCGTTATGTGTTAAATGTTATGACCCCTGAGAATTTTATATTTAATGTCCCTCTTTAAAATTGAAATATGACATCTAGGGATGGACCGGTTCTGGTTCGAGCCTTGTTCGGGCCTGGGCCCGGCCGGGCCTCGGTTCATGAAAGGGGAGGCCCGGAACCGGCCCGGGTAACCCCCGGGGCCGGGTTGGGCCTCGGTTCTTTTTGTTTTTTTTGGCTTTTCCTAATTAACCCCCAACCCTCCCCCCTCACCCCCAAACCACCTCAAATGGCCCATCATACCCAGTCCAACCCAAAAACTTAAAAAAATCAAAAAAAATAATAATAATTTGGCCCGGACCGGGCCTGAACCGACCGGGCCGGTTCACGATTTAGGAGGCCCGGGCCCAGTCCGCCTACCTCACCCGGCCGGGTGGCCCGAACCGGGCACCAACCGGTTCACCGGTTGGCCCGGCCCCAGTCCACCCCTAATGATATCTTATTCACTCAATATTTGCATGAAAAATTGAAACATGTAATATACTATGTATATATCAATTTACATCCGTATGAGACTATGAGTTACTCAACTAAAGGCTACGTTTGGATATTTGACCGGACTAAACTTGCAAGTGTACAAGTGCCGATATAGTAATAAATTCCGGTAAAATACCGGGTCGAATCCACAATGAAACATTGTTTAATTTAGTCCGAGAGTAGATGACTTTAAATAAATAAATGAGTAAAGTGTAGGGATTTTGATTTGTGTTTTATATTTTTGGCTTTTCACTTTTTGATGGAAAAGATAATCGTTAACTAATTTTAAGTTTAAGATGAATGATAACAACAACTAAGGTTTCGGGAATCAGTTAAATGCTTTAATAGGGTTGAATATTAGTTCTTTGTCAATAATTATGAATACGATGTCGCTAATATATATATTCTCAACTCTGGTTAAGGCAGCGAGAACGTGGTTTTCGTTACGTGTAAGTCCCGTTACGGCGTTACGGCTTACATTCATCTACCAAAAACCCCGTTGAATATCAAGACATCACACCCGTATCATATAAGGCCGGATATATTTCTATTCTCGGTACTATATATGTTTATCCTTTAATGTTCATAGCTTAGACTTCAACGTTAATTGCAAGCATAAACTAAATTTAACATACTTCTATGTTGTACACCATAGTCATAAACAATCAATATATAAAGGATAAATCACAGTTTATTGGTTTCAAACTTTTATCAAACACTTAGTGGGCATAGAAGTTCATCCCTAGCCTTAGCTAAGAATTTAGCTCCTTGAGCTCATACTAATTACAATACAATAATGAAATGTAATGGAACATGAAATTACAAAAGAAATAATACCTAAACACCAATGATTTCGGAGGATGAACTTCCCTCCTCAAGAACTTGAAGAAAAATACCAAGAATAAAAATATAAAAGCTAAGAATTAATTTATGGAATGGAATGTATTTGTATGATGAATTGAGAGCTTTATATAGGGTAAGGACTGACATCTTTAGGTCTATTCGAGCCCAACAATTTGGTATGGAAGAAATATTTGATGAAATCATGAAGAAGGTGAAGTTTTCCCATCAAAAATATGGAGCATGTCGCTGTATTTTGTGCAGAATCGACCTAACCAGCGTCGGTCATCAGGCCTACCCGACGCCAGTTCTTTGTTGTGCGCAGAAAAATCTGGGAAAATGGGGTACCCGGTGCCGGCCATCAGGCCTACCCGGCGCCGGGTAAGAAACTGGATAGTGCCTTGTGCGATACAGATCAGGCCGGTGCTGGTTTGATGCAATTTCAGTGCCGGTTTTGTCCTGGGATTTTGATGGTGTTCCGCTACAAATTTGGACATGATTCCTTCACCACAGTTGTAGATAATGAAGTCTTCTATCCACCAAAACTTGAATGACATGTTTTTAGTCATCCAATAAAAAGTTATGAACAAAACGCTGGGAGGTATGCATCCTGAAATCCCACCAGCAACGTCTGACTTTATTTGTTGATTGAGTCTTGTTCCTTTCATATTCTGGCCATGATGTCTTCATAACATTTGTACCTTATTGAGTTCAATTTCACATGAAATTCGAATCGATTGATTTCAAGTTCTCTACAATAAGTTATACTCGAATTATGAGCAGAACATCATCCTCTTGATCCAAAAAGCTCTTCGTCGCAATGTTTTATGCTCTAACTCTCATTCTTAATATATTTTCCCAATTTCTCTTCTTTTCTTCAACAAATACTTATAAATACTTATGTTAAACACACGTAAATATAACGGCTATCAATATTGACGATTTAGCAAAAAAGCCAAGGGTTTAACTGTTTCAGCGTCTTGGATCAGTGAAGTTATGGATTTATTTTCATTTGGTAAACAGAGGTTGGCCATAATAATTCAGATGAAACCTTCATAGTGATTCAAAAAAGGAAATGAGAAGATTTTTTTGGGACATCCCAAAAAAGTAAATGTGAAAAAATTTTAGTGACAAAGGAAGTGTATGGCTATGAATTTACAAATAGCAATAGCGATAGAAATCAAAGCAAGATCTCAAAGGACGGTTCTATGAAAAGGCAACTGTGTGAATTCTCTGAGGAGAGAAAGCACAGTCCCTCTAGTTGAGGAGAAAAAGCACTGAACGATATGCTTTGAAGCGGCTGAAACGAAAAAGAAAATAGTAAGATGATCGGAGGGTGACTGTGTGAATTCAGTAATTATTCCAAACCGCCAAAACATATACGCTCCAATTTATTACTCAACCACAACCATACATTTTTATTTTATTCTCACTTTCTTGAACTCCAATCCAAATCAAATTTGGAAGAATTTTGTGAAACTCGGGGAGTAATACTTTGCACTTCATATGAATATCGTTTATAGTTATTTATAGCTATTTTTCTATTTTGATGAATGAACAAATAGAAAAGCATTTATGCATGGTTAGGGATGGACTAAACCGGGCCAGCCCGACCCGAAACCGGCCCGGCCCATTACTGTTTGGGCCCGGACCGGACCGGGACCGGTTGGCCGGTTGGCCGGTTCCGGGCTTTTAGCCCGTTTGGGCGGGTCGGGCGGGCCGGACTCGGGCCCAACTTTTGGTGAATCGGGCCGGGCCCGGTTCAATTTTTTTTTGTTTTTTTGATTTTTTTTGCTTTTCTAGGTTAGGGTTGGGTGTTTTGGGGGGGTTTGGGGGGTGGGGGTGAAAGGGGGGGGGGGGTCGGGTGTTAATTAGAAACCAAAAAAAAATTGAACTTGACCCGGGCCCGGCCCGGTTAGGCCCAGACCCGGCATCAACTCGGGCCAGTTCCGGGCCCAACACTTAGCAAAAAAGCCCACCCAAGCCCAGCTCGGAACCGGAACCGGACCGGCCAGGGATGGGCATGGTTATGAGGATTCAGGGGTATTCAATAGTTGTCGCTTTGTTCAATTTTTTTGCTCGTTTGAGATTGAGATTTATCCTTATAGCTCAATTGATAATTGTGCATTGGGTTCTAGACTCTAGCCGACTCTATAATTATCTAGTGGTTATCTAACGGCCATTCGAGTAAGAATGAAAATTAGTGTTACTCGAGAATTTCTATCATTATATTTTTATTCAGTTAATTTTAAAATTATTAACTCAAATATACTATGGACGTTGAATTAGTATATTCACAACTTAATTATAAATAAAACAAAAACACATGCTAAAATTTTGAAATGTTCTTTTTGTTTGCTTACCTATTATCCACTACAAACAAACAATTAAAGATGTTTTTACTTGGATTGGAATTGTCTGATCTAGGCTTGGTCTCGGGCCAGGTCGACCCGGGCCGGGCCTAGGCCCGGCCGGGCCACCGGTTCCGTATCCATAGGCCCAACTCCCGAGACCGGCCCGGGTCTTGACCGGTTCCGGGCCGGGCCGGTTCCGGTTCATTTTTTTATTCTTATTTATTTCACCCCCCACCCCCCATCCCCCCCCCAACCCCCCAAACCCCTCGGAAATACCCAGCCCAGCCCAACTAACCCCAACCCCCAGGCCAAACCAAAAAAATCAAAAAAAAAAATAAAAAAAGGCCCGAAACGGGCCCGGCCAGGCCGGTTCCCCTTTTCCCTTACCCGTGCCCGGAACCGGTAGACCCCCCGGGCCTAGGCCCGAACCGGAACCGGACCCGGTTTCCCGGGCCGGGCCGGGGCCGCAAAGTAGCGGGCCGGTTCTCGGGCCGGGTGGCCCGCACCGAGTCCAAGCCTGGTCTGATCTGAATTGGTCTACTCTGGTAAATGTCTAATCTGTATGTACATAGTATTTTATAACTATCCAAGTCTGATCTGATCTGATCTGGTTTAGGACTAAAAATAGTTCAAGTAAAAACATCAAAATGAATGGGAAGATAAAAAAGCTACAAGACCAAAGGATTTTTTCGTTAGACGGATGGACTTAGCTAAACATTTTATTTGAACAAATATAGAACCAGAATTAAGTTATCAAACATTTTCCTCTAATTCGTTGGTCAAATCTGTTGATTTAATCCACTATTTACAACTCACTAACAAAATCCACTAATCGTTGAGTGTCAAACATCCCCAAAGTGGTCTCGAAGTGATATACTAGTACAAATCTCCCTCCTTCCCTTAAAACTAAAATTTTGCCATGTTTAATGAGCATAAGAAATAATAAAATAAAAACTGATAGATAAGTATTAGGAATCCGTTAAATTGGTTAGTGTCAAAGTTATTGGTAGGTTTGAAATTTGCAAAATTTCAACCGTTAGCCAACCGTTAGCACTTGGGTTTGACAAAAATCATAATTATAACTAGACTGAAATATACCATAATAACCGTGGTCAACTAAGCATCTAACAATTGCTGACTTTTTACAAGTTACAGAATAATTAAATATAATTGCTAGATTAACAAGCTCCTTAAAAAACAAGCAAAATCTAAAAATAGCATCAACATCTCAAATACAATAATAAAAAAATAATACATAAATACTGCTTGAAAATAGTATCACACAACCAAATAAGACTCAAAATCTCAATCATATAATCTAATTATACAAATAACAAATGTATCCAATTTGACTTCTGTTAATAGCGATTCATTATGAAACTTTGACCAAAATTTTAGCTAACCGATTTGTTATTAGATTCAAATAACATTTTTTTTGTTTGATTAGGTAATTATCAGTTCTGTTTTTACTATCGATTTTTCCTTTGCATCCCTATTGAATGGTCCTATTCTAATTCCTAAGAAACCATTTACGACACCCTTCTTAGTTACACCGGGACTAAATAGGCTAAATCTATATTCACATGCTAAATCCACTGTTTCACAATATTCTTAGAGACCTTAAATGCCACTTTCCCACAAATAAAATGAATAGAGGGGCCCTGGGATCAGAAGATCAAAAGCTGGGGACTAGGATGTGAAGCCACAGCTATGGTTTTAGATACCCCTTTTCCCCCAGATAAGATATCACAACCTCAGCCATGTCACTAGGAGAATCATAGAATCCATTGTCAAGGCGAAGCATTATCTGCAAATTAAATGAATCCATAGTTATGACGAGAAAAGTGTAGATTTTCACCTGCAGGGTATGCTTTTTGTGGGATTTGGGAACTCATTTTGGGGTGTATAATATAGTCTTTGCTAATTCTTTCCAGATTTACTACAGACCAAATCAGTACAATTTACAACCAGGAGATCTTTATCTGATTCTGTAATGGACATAAACACATTTTCTCTAGGACAACAAAGGGGATTACCTCAGGACTCTTTGGTGGCTCATATGGATCATCGATACCGGTAAAACCTATACCATTAAGCATAAATGATCACTTTCATCCATGCATTTATTAGCTTAAAATGATCATTACTAATAACATTAATTGATAAGTACCAATAACAGTGTAGACACAGATTAACAAATACGACAAATAACTTGATCACTTTTCCTGTTTGCCTGGACTCTTTCAGACAACAGCCAAATGTAAATGAAGATTTATTCTTTTGTCATGGGTAGAGTGGATAATTCAAATTTTGGTATATAATAGAGATGATATACGGAAAGAGAAGCACCTTTTATTTTACCTGCGCGGGCAAGTTTGTACAATCCCTTGGGATCTCTCGCCTCGCACACATGTAAGGGAACATCCATGAACACCTATAAATGGCCAGGTCCATGTGTTAAGCAAACTTTAGCTTTGAAAGTTGGTCTACACAGTCCAAATCCATGTCCTAGGAGAACAACATAAATAGGAGCTGAACCTCAATGAAGTCTCCTTCTGGAAGTAAGGCACGACAAGAATCCCGGTCCTTTATATATGGAGATACCAAACTGACAATACAAATTACCCCAGCATCTGCGAAAAGCTTTGCTACCTCTCCTATTTATTGAGATGAAGCAGAATGAAATTTTCTATTCAGGTGATACGTGATAAGGCTTTGAAGTTCTACAAGCTCAGGAACCACTGACAGAAGAACAAATTAGAAACATACCAACCCGTCTAATGTTCTCAGATCGATCCTTTGCTCCAAAACTAAGGTCACTACCTAGACCATGACGGATATTATCCCCATCCAAAACGTAAGTGAGCTTTCCCCGTGCATGCAAGCCACGACTTAGTGTACACGCCACAGTACTCTTTCCTGAAATCACATACAAGACAACAATCCCAATAGCTATTTAAAGCAAACATGTTTTTGTTGTTGCTTGATATGGATGAGTATAACACTGCTAATACGGATGAATGCATTCAACACAAACAAAGATACTTACTAGATAGCCAGGATAAAGAATGAAACTTTTAGGTTATATGAGAAACATGAAATGAATTACATCAAATTCAAAGGAAAACAAGTAGCAAAATTGCATTTAGATAAAGGAAGATAGGCATACACTATTTGCAATGGAGCCAAAGATTCACTATTTTTTGGCTTGGGAATATGATGGAACAAAGCAAAATGGCTCATTAAACTGTCAGCGCTTCTTTCTTATGAAGCAGCAGCCAGTTCATGCAATTTTCGACGCGGTTTTCAGAATGGGTCATCCGAAAACATCTTTAGTACAGGCCACAGGGGTAAGGCTGCGTACATCCGACCCCCCCTTACCCCACCATAGGTGGAAGCCTTTGCGACACTAGGGTAATGATTATAATGATGATGAAGATAGGCATACAGATAAAGCGGAAAATGATTGATACTACGTAGTTTATTCCGGAACAAACCTGAACCACTTAGACCAGTAATCCATACAACACATCCCTTCTGCTGGAGTAGAGCCTCCCTGTCACTCTTCTCTACTGAGCATTTGTGCCAATAAATATTAGTAGATTTTCCAAGGGTATGCATCTTTGGTCTTTCTTCACCTAGATAGAGAAGTAGAAGAATAAGCACTCAGCAGCTACATGGGTCCAAAAATTGGTATTATTAACAACGTACATCCAACGTACATTCTTTGTTGCAATGTTTTCAAAATAACTGCACTTTCGAAAATGAAGAGAATGATAATTGCCTATTTTATATAACTGCCTTTTTCCATCTCCCACTACATCATAATATTATGCATATCTATAAAACATTATTGAGGGTACCATATTCAGAGTTACACATCTTTATTTTGATTTAAGAAAGAATGTAACCTTTCTTTGTTGTACAAAACCTTAAATAGTTAATTCTACATCAACTTTGGAATTTGAGGGACTACAATTTAATGAATTCAGGGGACAGGGAACCATCTTATTTCCAATTATGATTTGTGATCACTGCGCTAGTAAGCATTTCAGATGAGAAAAATACTCTGGCTCGTATGTGTGTGTATTCAATTAATACAGGACACAAACATTGATAGAAAAATATATGAGTAAAAATCTGGAAAAGAGAAGTATTGTTGATGACATCATTAGAGAATACAAGAATATTTACACTTTTTTGTGCAGGAAAAGAAACAAAGAGTAAATTAAGAAAAGCACAAACTTTTGGTGATTCCAATTACTTACAACAGTATATACTTATATACGAGTAGTTGAGAGTAGAGGAAATGGAATTAGAATATAGCAGTACCAGAGAGATCATCGGAATCGTTGACGACTACTTCCTGCTCCGAACCGCATCCTGACGGATTAGATTTTTCGTTTTCCCTGTAGGTATGCGACGACCTAGAAACTTCAAGTGCCTTAATTGGGCCAATTAATCCAGACTTAACCTCTCCGCCGGCAATGCCGAACCTGAATCCTCTGTTTAAGCCGGAATCACATGCCGACAGCTTCACGGCCCGCTTCCCTGATTTTGACAACGCATGATAAAAATCCGGCGAAAGGGAGAAATGGAGAAATGATTTGCTTCCGATGGCAATCACCATCTTTCTCAATACCATAGCACATACGCGATGTAGCCGGTACTGATTCAAAGAATTTGCGCCAAACACAGAAAAGAAGAAACTCAAAACATATACTCCGTATAAAAGTATGTTATGGACGGGTGTAGATACATGAACAGAAAACATACACACGTACAAACTATAGAGGGCTTCCGCGAATATATGAGCAATATCTATATCCTCCCTCAATTGATTAATTGATAAGATATAGGACTTCTTGTTTATAGGACTTCTTGTTTATTGTAAATTGTTTCAGCCAATATATTATCTTCCATGTTTCTATGCAGTACCATTTTAATAAGTAAGGGAGTTGTCTGAGATACTCTCATTCATCCCATCAGACTTTGCCAACTTACTATTTTTTGTTGTCTCAGAAAATTTTGTCATTTTTCCATTAAAGTAACTAATGTGTAGCTCTTTTCATTTCTTTCTTCTCTGCACAAATTTCAACCACACAATTTTTACTATTCTTATTTCTCACCTAATTCAAAGAATGCAAAGTTCATTGGGACGAAAGGTAGTATCTATATTGATATTGACATGGGAGAACGTTGATTCATCATTTTATTCAATGGATATGAATAAAGCACAATACATTTCTTCTATAAAAATCGGTGATTTAGAAGAGCAATCTAGTGATAGAGTGAACCACAATGCAAAACATAACGACAGTCGATACAAATAAAAATTGTATGGGTTCTTACGATGAGGAGGGGTTGTTAGAGGTCTTTAGATCGATGAGATCTAAAGATCAATTATAAAAACCCATAATTGGTCATTTTTACTAATTATTCCAGTGACACTAGAAGTTGTTTTCATTTCTAGGTCGAAGAGGTATATCATGTTCTTCTTAAAAATCGTTTTGAAAATAATCTACTCTGTATATTATATGATACAGAGTAACATAAATAAGATAAAGGGACGATATTTTTAATCGCGCAATTTTAATAAGAACAATATTTCAAATATAAAATGACCTATTATAAGCAGTGTTCTAAAAGGTCCAAAAAGACGCCGCTTAGGCGAGCCTAAGCGCCAGGCATCATTAAGACGCCCCGCATATGCAAATGCGTGACAAAAGGCGTGTTGGGCTACAAAATTTAACTTTTCAATTGCTTTTTTTAGCACATACATAATAGGACTGCCCAATGAAGGTAGAAAGAGGTGCTGTTTGCTATAGCACACATATCAGTACGAAGGGGGTGTGCAGATATATAGTGTGTTGACTGGAGGAAGTCTCCAACACCATCCGGTGTGGGACAAAGTAATACCTCGGATAAATAGTTAAGGCCAAAGCATTTGTCAACAGGCTGCATCAAATACTTTTAAGAGTGGGTATTTCTAAATTATAATGTAAATTATTTATTCTTATAAGTTTATATTAGTACTAAATATGGTAAACAAGTGTATCCTACTATCTTTTATTATAATTAAACATCAATATAAGCACCGTTGTTGTTGGAATTCTAGTTATTATTATCATTCTATTTTATTGTTATCATTATCGATATCTTTGCCATTGTAACTTTTAATAGAGTATTTTCTAAATATTAAGGTAATAAAATTTATGGATAAAAAATATGATTAAAATGATTGTAAATATATTTTTATATTCACTACAATGATAAGTTTGAATATAAATTTAATAACTAAATGTTACTAAGTCACATTTTTACAAATATAAATATTTTATGTTGGGAATATTTTATGGTGTTCAATCTAGTTAGTTATCTTTGTATTTGTGTAGTTATTAATTAATCGTGTAATACGGGCCACAAATGTGTATCAGCCCGTGGGCTTCCTTGTAACCCGTAAGTTAGCCAACTTCTCCTATAAAAGGAGACTAACTTACGGGAACCCTAACTAATCGTAAGAGGCTGAGACGCAGAGGCGTAGAGATAGAGAGAAATTAGGTTGCCGCTGCTCTCCTTCTCCAGGGAGAGTAGCGGCAGGTTCATACGGTATATCAGATTCGCGTTCAATCTTGTCGATTTCTTCCTATCTGCTTCTTTATCACTGCTATGGTTGTATGATTGTTAGTATTTTGGGATTAACATTTGGTATCAGAGCCGAGGCGTGAAACAGGTTGGATCTGTCTGCGATTTTTGGATTTAACGAAGAACTGCTCTGTTTTTTCTTCAGTTTTTCTATATGTAGAGATTTGCTCCTGTAATCTCGTTTGTGAACGAAATTTTGTAAAAATCATACTGTTGGATTCGCCTTTCAAAACCGATCCAGCAGCATACCTTTTTTTTCGTTTTCTGCAATTTTTGTTTTTCGAAGATCTCTACATTGAGATCTCGAAATCCTCTTTTTTCACTGCTGCAGAAACGTTTTTGGCTTGAAACTGGTACAGAAGAATCTCGACTTTCAGGGCTATTCAGAACAGGTTTCAGATTTTCAAAAATCAATGTTTTCGTTTTGCAGGATCTCGACATTTAGGGACTCGATTTCTTCTTCTCGACATTTGAGATCTCGAGATTTGCATCTCGACATCTTTATCTCGAGATTTGCATCTCGACATCTTGATCTCGAGATTTGCATCTCGACATCTTGATCTCGAGATTTGCATCTCGACATCTTGATCTCGAGATTTGCATCTCGACATCTTGATCTCGAGATTTGAATCTCGATATCTTGATCTCGAGATTTGCATCTCGAGATCTTGATTTCGAGATTTGAATCTCGAAATCAAGATCTCGAGATTTGAATCTCGAAATCAAGATCTCGAGATTTGAATCTCGAAATCAAGATCTCGAGATTTGTGATCTCGAGATTTGGAATTTCGAGTTTAGGAATTTCGAGTTGTGGGATTTCGACATTTGGGATCTCGATGTTTTGGATCTCGACATTCTGAAGATTTCGAGATTTTCAAAATTTCTCGATGTTTTTGAATCTTTCAAAGTTTGCAGTTTCGTGGAACTCATAATTCGAATCTTGACATCCTCTGCAGTTCATCGAAGCTTTACATTATAAGGATCTCTAAATGATTCCCTGCTTATATATGTTTCATGAGTTTTCGATGTTCTGATGTTTTTCAAACAGCAAGTTTTCGAGATTATGAGGTTTTCGAAACTCCAAAGTTTTCGATGTTCAAACATTTTGAAATTCTGCAGATTTCGATATTCTGAGGTTGTTTTGCAGGTGGATTTGGCCATTATTCTTCGAGGCAATCTCTAGAATTTTGTTTAAAATCCACCTGCTCTCGACATTCAACATCGAGCACCTCATCTTCGAAGAAATTCCTCAAAAACTCAAAATTAGAGATTTTCTGCGACACCGCACTGTTTTGACCATAACTTCTGACTCGGTGATCCGATTTGAGCAAACTTTTTTTTTGTTGGAAAGCTAACGAGAAGATCTACATAATTCTGGGGCTACGCCCCAGAACCCATTCTCACGCGCCCTCACTCGCAGTCTTTGAGGGTCAAAACATTAGTTTTCCGACAAACATTGTAAATCACCGATGTCCAGGTCAAAACTTAGGCAAATCTGTTCAAACTCTTTCAATGTCAACCCTGAGGTCAAAGCTTTTCTAAACTTTTCTGTAAAGGTCTGAAAATCGTAGATAATTCAATCAACCTCGCGTCAACGATCATCTTACAACAATCAACAATCAACTGCTGGAGTCTCCCCTGACTCATCAACATTATGTGATCATCAATATGCTGAAATTCTACATGGTGAGCTCAGGAAACCGTGATGTGTGGTACATGTTCAGATTGCTCCACACACATGGCGGGTATGACAAGCTGTGAGCAATCAAACCTTGCACATTTTGAGGGGGAGTTTCAGTTTTCTCCTCCTGGCGCCTTACACCGACAAAGCAAGGAATCTCTCAACGGATGCAACATTCTAGGGGGAGTGTTCAAAGTAATCCTCCCCGGTGCCTAACAATGACAAAGCATACCGAGTGCTCCAGTTGAGGGGGAGCACAGAGAGAAAATGAGAAAGTAATGAGAGAACATGTCCCTATGGCTTAGTAAACCCAACTAAGCCTACCCAAAGGACAAAGCCGAGCGTAAGTGCGTAAGTGAGCGAGTGAGTGAGTGAACATTATGAGCATTAGGAAGCAGAAGGCTCAAGTGAGAAGAAAAACAATTATCAATGATGAGTCTGCTACCTCAATTGCCTGCTATGAATTGAACATTTGCTCCTAGCCACTAAAATACTCTGGACTATCCCCATAGGTTCAGGACTGAATTTATTCAGATCCCGGGTAGAAGTCGCTGCATTTTGTCCAAACGGCGCATGCACAACCCTACCCTAGACCACTCACTTGTCTCCCAACAGACAGGTGTTTAATCATAGTTCACGGGGAACCGCATCTCTCATTACTGTCTCCTTCCGAGGCAAGTAATACTGACTACAGTGGCCTCAGCCCCATGCCACTGAACTTTCATTGATCACGTCGTGTCTAGTTACTCACTTCCCAAATGTTTTGAAATTTTCTAGGACACAGACACATTTTAGAGTCAGTTGCTAGTCTTCAAGACTTGCGAGAACTTCCATAGGGCTCATCTATTACAGATGAAGACCAATAATTGGAAGGAAGTCCTGCTGTTGCAACATAAGAATCACCAACATTTTCAGGCCATTGCTTTAGAGTTTATCTCTATAGTGATGATAACGGGCGTCTTCACGACCCCGGGGGGCTACGTTATCTTTTTTAGATTCTGCTTGTTTTTCATGTTTTTATTTCCGCAGAATAAAGGCATGACGTCCCGATTCATCGGATCGTCATGAGGGGGAGAGTGGTCCACATGCTGTTAACACTGAACAAATCATTCTGGGACACTTCACTCCTCCATCACAAAATTCAACACCCTCTCTACTATCTCCGCAACTCAAATCAACTGGTCAGCTACACTCACAAATCAACCATCATTATGTTCTGCTGTGCCACCGACAAGTTCTCCTCAAATGCATTCATTCCAAATAGTCAAAAAGACTACATTGTGGAGGAGACAGAGGTCAAATACTCGTGTCCTGAAGATGAATTCCATGGACGTCTCCTATTCTCCAAAGAATATTCATTCTAGAGGCGTCACCGGACTTCATCCAAGCTGATCAAGAGCAACTTCTAGAAGGCAAGGACTACATGCAAGATACTGAAGGTCCCTCAACCCCCGGCATCAAAGATCAAATTGTCAAGAAGACATCAAAGGGGAGATTGCAAGGATTTCTTCAGATAGCCTTCCTCAGAAGTCAAATTCAAAGACAAAGGAAGCTCAATAACAACAAAGACAAAGATATCTGCGCTGCAATGCTGATTCAACACGATTGATCACCAAGGGGGAGATTGTTGGGAATATTTTATGGTGTTCAATCTAGTTAGTTATCTTTGTATTTGTGTAGTTATTAATTAATCGTGTAATACGGGCCACAAATGTGTATCAGCCCGTGGGCTTCCTTGTAACCCGTAAGTTAGCCAACTTCTCCTATAAAAGGAGGCTAACTTACGGGAACCCTAACTAATCGTAAGAGGCTGAGACGCAGAGGCGTAGAGATAGAGAGAAATTAGGTTGCCGCTGCTCTCCTTCTCCAGGGAGAGTAGCGGCAGGTTCATACGGTATATCAGATTCGCGTTCAATCTTGTCGATTTCTTCCTATCTGCTTCTTTATCACTGCTATGGTTGTATGATTGTTAGTATTTTGGGATTAACATTTTATCATTAAACTACTTTTTCCAGTTCTAGTTTTTATGTAATTAGTAAATTTATACTCTATATTTGCTAGATTTAGGATTCCACAAATCTTTGTTTTTGAATAACATTATTTAATATTAAATTTAAATACTTAAAATAGATCTATGAAAATTAAAATAAATGATAAAAAATCAAAACGCCTTTTCACGCCTAAGCCCCACCTAAGTCCGCCTAGGCTCCAAAGGCTTAACACTTGGTCGTGCCGCCTCGGCACGCCTTACGCATTTTAGAACATTGATTATAAGAACCCATAATTGGTCATTTTTACTTCAAAACTATTCCAGGGTGAGTAGACACTAGAAGTTGTTTTCAATTCTATGCCGAATAGGTACATCTTGTGCTTCTTAAAAGTATTGCTACATACTCAGTATTATATTATACGAAGTAATATAAATAGAAACAATTATATACATATGACCAAAATAAAGATGATTTGCAAAAATATGATTAATGACTAGAGTAGTAATGAAATCATAGTAATTTATATTCAAGTTTTGAGCTTAAGTTACCAGTTACCACGACACCACATTATAGTAATGAATAGTCATATTTATGTAAATATATTTTGTTTTAGTAATATTCTTGTAAAAAAACATATAAATAAGATGGAACGATATTTCTAATACATTAATATTTTATGATGTTTCTTCTTTGTAGTGTACGCATTGTATAGGGAAATGGAGCGTGTTCATTAAACATTCAACGACATTTATGAAAGCAAAAGTAGCTACCTAGAAGACCCATCAAAGCAATTGAAGTTCATTCAATATGTGTACATGAAAGTTATGTTACGTTGCATCCATGGCGTATATTTACACTGCACACTATACACACAAATATTCAACGTACGACATATTTAAATGAAAGATCTATTTGCATCCATGAAAGTTATGTTACGTTACATCCATGTCATACTAAATGTATGTATAAATTACTACATTTAGTATTTTTACTTTAAACATTCCGATCGACTTGAATGTAAATAATCGAAACCTTTGAATTTAAAAATGGAGTAGTATTTAAGAAAACATATTTAACTTAAAATACTAAATAATTATATTTAATAATTAACATGTGAAATGTAATGGCCTACAAAAAAGCATGCACATCTTTTGGCAAGATCTAGCTATTAATGGATGGGGGTAAAATGAAACTTCAAGTAATGGATTGTGAAAAAAACATAAGAAATACATAAAGCACAAAAAAGAAAATTCACATAGGGGAGAAACATGGGAGCCGGCGGAGGAATTGAAAGGGAGTTATGCGGTGGAGGGATATGGAGAAGTTTAGAGGGAATCAGGGGCGGAACGAGGACATTGGACCGGACTGGGCTGGTACAAAGAATATTTTTAGAAAAAAAATTACACAAAATTTTTTACATTAAAAATTAAACCATTTTTAAAATTTGGGGTGGGTCATGGCTTAGGTTGGCCCACCCCTAGCTCCGTCCATGGAGGGAATGTATAATGTTGAGAGCCAAACAACCATTCCAGCTCACAGGATGGAAGGTTACCGTGTCCTAGCGGAGGTCTCAGGTTCGAATCCCGCTAGGCACATTTAGGGGAGAGGAGGGAGGTCTTGCTCCCAATGATTCTTCCTACCTTCACGGAGTTGCTCAGCGGCTGAGAAGAGAGAGGATGGTAATGAAGGTAGCGAGTTCGTGTGGTGGGAGGAGCAGT